CACACACACACACACAGAGTGGGTCGTCGGTGTGTTTTCTCTGTGAAACTTCCTCTCCTGTCTCTGGGTTTGATCGTCGGGATGAGTTTGAACCATCGGAGCAGGAAGGCGCGCTGGCGTTTGCGCTTCAGATGAATGTGTGAATTCTCCTCGGAGTCAGTGTCTCATTCATTTGTAAGCTGATATCTTGTCCTCTTATCTAAATATCACTTTCCCTGGAAGCGAAACATCTGATTAATCTAGTCCTCGACTTGTTTCCAGAGATGTGGGTCTGCTGTGAAACCCGTCAGTCCGGATCTCTCCCCAGACTTCAGTCCAGCTTCCTCCGGGCGGTGTGTCTGACACATAAACTCAAGAGGGGGTTTTATGCTGTTTTCACTGTTTTCCAGCTCAGTTTTTTTAATGCGCATGGCTCATTAGGGTCACTCCTGCCTTTCCAGTCCTGCACCAGGGGCGGGGGGAGAGGAAAGTGAGACGGGGGGAGAGAAAAGGGAGACGGGGGGAGAGAGAGTGCCAAGACCTGTTTCCCCTTTTGTCTTGTGCGTCCTTTGCTGCTGGGTGTGTCCATGATACTACAGAGGACAAAAGATGCTGTTGTCATTGTGTGTGGATGACAGACAGGTGCAGATGAAGTTGCTATCAGGGAAGAAGGTGTTTCTGTAGTTTGATGAATCAGGAGTTTGTTGGGTTTACACACACAGTAGAACTGAAGCTTTATTTAAAGTTGTAAAACAGACTGTAATTGATCTGAGGTAAGCAGAGTTCAGTTTGTTTGGTGGCTTCATTTGTTCTTTGGTTTTGTTCTTTCTCAAATACCTGACAACATGTTTACAAAGAGCCTAATATTCAGATTATAATCAAACTGGATGAAAATGCTCCATATTTAAACACTTCAGTCATTATAAATAAAAAGACAAATTAAACCTTTACGTAAAGCAATAAATAAAATAAATTAGACCATGTAAATAATTTATCCTGACTCATTTCTGGCTGCGTGGGAAATTTGTTCATCCAAGCTGAAGCTTCTGCGACTGTCGGACTGATGGAAAGTGCGTCGACTACAACTCTCATCGACGTTTTAGGTCGACTATTATGGGGCAGCCCGACCTATTCAAACGAGTCCAAGAACAAACGAATGAAGCCAGGACAGACAGAAGGGTTGAACAAATTAAAAACTGCCTATTATAAGGCTAAATCTCAGGCTGAACAACAAAAGTGGTTCCGACTCCACCAACTCCAAAACATGGACAGATCCATCACTTTAGGGCATGTAAACACCGACCGTATTAGATCACATCATGTCTTCAAAAAACCCAAAGATAATATTTTAAACATTTGCCATTTGTTGGTGCAGCTCTTGTATGGATCCGTCTATGCTCTGGAGAGATGGATAATGCAGTTGCTGTGGGAATAAATGTCCCTTTCAGGCTCTGTAAAGTCTGTCTGTGTGGCTATGTCCTTGGGGCTGCGCTGGTATTGTTTGGAGACATTCATGCATATCTTTTGATTCCCACTTGGACAGATTCGAGTATAACATGAACCTGGTTTTAGCTTTATAGCTGCTGACATCATATTGGTTTGTTACACATATGAGAGGAAGCTCGTGCACCTGAAGGCATCAGCTGGACACGTGTTTTTACCCGACAGCGAGTAGAAGTTTTAGGTTCGATATCATGTCCGAACGGAGAGTTCTAGCGCTTCATTGATGAGTCTGACACGAGTCCAGAAAGCAGCTGTGGAGGTTCGAGGCTGCTGTCGGAGCCGTTTTTTTGGCTTCTTGGGTCACCTGAACAACAGCCGGGGTCGGTGCACTGTTGTAAACAAACAAAATAAAGGTGGAATGTCAGATAAAGCTGCGGAAAAACAACAGAGAACGGAGACAATGATGGAAAACGCAGAATAATCTGGTCTCTCCTTTTAGATATTATTGTAAATCATGTGAAAACACGCCTCTCCTGTTGCTGTGGTTACGAGGTATCATATGTTCAAACTGGGAATGGAGGAAGTAAATAAACACTGATCCTGTGCTCAGCGTCCTGTGAGGCGTGAAGTGGAAATGTTGTTTTATTTGTGTGTTCGGTAGTCGCAGTATCTGGATAACGACACACATGTTCGAGGACGGAGGAAACCAGCTCTCAGACTCGGGTTTAATGGGGTTTAGCAGGGTTTAACGGGGTCCTTTGGGTGCTTTCTATCTCCTGCAGCTCTCATACGACGGCTCTCTGTGGCCTCCGTCAGTTTTTCCTGGCCGCCGTATGGCTGGAGGGTGACACCGTGCATCCATTTCTCATGATGAAAACATTCCTCTCGCTCTGAGTCTGCAGTGTGTGTGTGTGTGTAGGGCGGAGGGTGGGTGTGTACGGGAGACTCCTCTGAATAACAGGCACTCGGTTGGATGTTGGATGCAACGTTCACTTCAGATGATTCATGAGCTGACTTCAGTCCAGTGTTGGTGGAGTCCGATCCCTCGACTCTGAGACACTTTTTCAGACTGATGTCATCGGTCCTCTTTGTGTTCGGACTGTGCGATGGAGGAACTTTTTCTTTTGACTGTAAAGGGCTGTCCACATCAAGAACAATTAACTACAACAATATAAGCATCCACACAAAGACCTCACTTTATGAGCTGTTACTGCTGTATGTACGGATACAGGTTCATCGAGTTCTTCACAGACCAGATCAGTTAGGAGAATCACAAGAAGACAAACTTGACCTCATTAAGGACTGAAGACCATTAAAATGACATGTTTTTGTCTTATTTGCAGCTTAGAATTTGTTGAGTTCTTCAGTTCGAACGATTTTTAAAACAATATATTTATAGTTCCTGGTATAGTTCTCGTTCTTGGTGTGGACAGCCAACTCTGACGGCTTTTGTTCCGATACGATTCTGATACCTGGACCTTAACAAGCCTATTACACTAAACCTGTAAACCTGTAAATTAAACCTTGATGTCGTTGTTGTCTGGCTCAGGTTAAACCCTCTGTCAGGAAATCAACTCTTCTTCATCAGCCTAAAACATTAGTCGCTTGTGGCCAGTACTCGTTGCCTTCATTGGGTTGGTTGGTTATGATTTTTTAATATTTTTAAGTAGTATTAGAAGTAGCTGGGAGCCAAACGGGAGCAAATAAACGATGTGGTGTCGGATCGATGCACAAACACGTGTACTCAGCGCTTGAGGCAACATCGGAAGAGTATCCAATGGTATCGGTATCAGAACGACTCCAGTCTGACTTTAACACCAATGACTTCACTTGGACTTGAAAATACTTGAAACCTTCCCCCCCAAACCTGAAGATTAAATGGTATATCATCCAAAAAGTGTGTCACGAATCAATAAATTAACACAAACTGCTTGCTTCAAGTTATCAGACTGGAAAACGTGGCAGCCGTTTTGGAAACTCTCTTTAGTAAAATCAGGTTTATCACTGATTGTGTTTCTGAATGAATCTGAGGAGTGAAAGAAGTCACACAGACACAGAATTGTGATTAAAACTGAATCTTCAACTCCTACTTTAAATACTTGATAATGAGGCTGTTGAAGCCATATTTCGTTAATTGCTGCCACATGTGTGCATCTGGCTTTATGGATTCTCAGGGGACTTTTTCCAGACTAAAATCTAACAGCGGAGCTCGTCGGTGAACATGTGGATTCCTACGAAAGAAATGTGCCAAACCCACTGGTACAGAGGTTATTTACAGTCATGAGAGCGGTGACTCGTGTTTTTCGTCCACATGTTTTATCTAAGAGGACAAACGGAGGAGCTCAACAGGGTGGAACATCTGCTCAGCTCTGCGGAGCTCTGACTGTTTCCTCAAGACTCATGTTTAGGGACCAAAGATCAGTCTTACATCAGTGCTGGTTCATTGCGATAAAATAAGTAAAACATGGTGGCAGCAAGACGAAGAGCAAACTAACTTTTTAAACTTTTTAATCCCGAATGTTAAAAAGTTTTATATCTTACAAATTGCTCCTTTAACTTTGGCTAAAGTTAGTGTCTATCTAATGTAGTGTTATCTGGCTGTGATGGTCTGATGGTTCCTGCTGGCTATAGTTTAATCAGCTTAAATACCATATATGTGGCTGTATTACTTGTTTTTTGAAGCATCTACCTACCTGTGCACAAACCGTATCACTGCTGCCGGTGGTAATGAGGTGTGAGTTGGTGTTTTTTGTGGATTAAAATCACAGTCCTGCAGTTTAAAGACACATTAGTGTGTTAGCAAGTCTCCCAAATGTCCCTCGGAAACACAAGACTTAGTGCAGCATTACGTCATCTATTGAAAACACTTATGATGTCACCCAAAGAAAAAAGATCATGTGTGTGTTTATTAAATACAAGCTACAGAACTTTATTGTAAGTTTTCACTAACATGGCTGTAGGGGTTGTGGAGATTGTGGCTCGTTCCCAGCCTTTGTTTTTGCTGTCAGTGTGCCATTCTTCATGCTGTGTCACTCTGCCTCCAGCTGCCATTACACAACCCCTCAGATATTCAGAGGAGCTGTGAGTCTGTGAAACTTTCCCCCCTTTTCAGATCTGAATCCTCTCCACAAAGAGAGGAAACTGCTGCTGCTCAGCTCTCTGCAGGAGCCCCACCTGTTGTTTACTCAGACTGACCGACCCGGTGTCCACAGGAAACGAATACTGCACAAACCTGCTGCCAGTCAGACTACTTTATACCGGTTAATCAGCGCTGAGTAGCCAAGAAATGATCTGTTTGTATCACTGAATCACTGCAGGCCTCATTATGACATAATTTAGTGAAAGCTTTGTTCACCCAAATTACAAAAAAACACGATTACCTGTTTAAGTTGGCAATTACAGGTTTCCTGTCAAAACCGGAAGTCAGGAACTTCTGACCGAGGCGGTTTTCTGGCCGGGTTTGGCTCCCAATACCTCGGGGCTAACGACAGCTAGTATTACCATTAGTGGCTGGTTAGCTTCTTTAAGTCAAACTGGCCTCCATCTGTCTCTGAGGTTGTGTTTTGTCCGAGTACAGTCGTGTATCCGCCAACATGAACCTATTGCTAGTTCTGGGCTGGTGCAGCTACATTAACAGTTAGCAACGTAAGCATGCGTCACATTTTGTTTTACAGGAAGACACAATGATTGGATTTTTATTGCATATATATAACAATATGAGCAGGGATGTAATTTAAAAGGGTTAAAAAGGCCTACTACTACAGCTAGCCTGGTTCTGTCCAAAAAACACCTTTAACTCGTTCACTTTTCAGGTTTCAGTTCTCGTCTCTGTGTCGTTTGAGCTCACTGCAGATGGAGGTTTCTCTGTCTTGCAGCTGAAAGTTAACGCAGGTTGTTGTGAGCATAAACTCGAGGACTCGGCGTCCTGACCTTGACGTTCTGACTTTACATCACCCAGGTATGATGGTATGCGAGTGTCAAACAGGCTCTGCGGCTCGTAAAAGTCACAACAGACAGATGGGTATTGTTTCAGAACAGCTCTCGAGTGGCGACGCCCATCTGAAGCAGCTGCTCCGTTTTTTTAGTCAGGGTGTGTGAGAGTCGGAGAGATGGAGAGCATCGCCGCTGCAGGGCGGTACAACCTGTCGGCTCTGTGAGGGATGCTCATCGACGTAACCTTTCTGAGTGCGGCGCTCTGTCATTATTGACGACTCCCCTGCCTCCTGCCTCTTATGTAAGCATCCATTTGTCTCAAAGAGAAAATCCCCCGAAGGTCCTTAAACAACATTTAAACACCGTTGGATGGAAAATAATCTCTGTAGCATCATAAAATAGAGTTTTAACCTCTTTTCCCCACTCAGAAACTCAGTGAACCTCTCAGAAGTTGTATCGTCTGTATCAAAGTCACTTTATTATTCTTACACTATTATGATGATACTATTAACCAGCAGTCACTGTGAGCATTTAGCTCAAAGCAGACTCGTAGCCTTGTTGCTTCATACATGACTTTTGACAGGAAAATACACAAACACACATATATCAGACACTCACTCACTCACTCACTCTCTCACTCTCTCACACAACAACAACACAACACACACACACATTTTTCTGCCTTGCAGCGACTTGTTCTGTGTCTCGGTTATTTCCTCCTGACAGCACAAAGAGGCTCCTTCCACGGATCTTCCTCTGAGCCTTTTATTGATCTCACTGTACTTTTAACTACTTTATTAATCACTCTGTCCAGTTTTAAATGAGCAGTGAATGATACTTTAAACTGTAGAAAGAGATCAACAGTCTCTCTGCATACTTGTTCACTTAGTCGTCATGTGTGATTGCATGTAAAGAGTGTGTGTGTGTGTGGGAACAAATGACATGTGCTGACATGTTAATGCTCCACACACACACACCCTCAACCACAGGGACACTCATACACTCTCACATGAGCCTATTGTGATTCACCTGTTGGACGACTCACCATTTATTTCAGTTCATATTTAACATCTATGTGATGTGAGATAAAAGTTCGGTGCAGGTGAAGTCTGTGTTTATTGATTTGTTGTCTGTTGTGTTGTGCGAGGTCGTCAGGTGACAGGAAACGGTCGGTTTAGGCAACAAAACTACATATACGTTACGTGAGTTTAAAAAATGGAACACACAATAAAGCAAGAAAACCTTGAAATAAGTCAGCGTTGACTTCTGGTTTCACACTTCCTGTGTTTGTTTGACTAATCGACATAAAGATGGATGCTTCCTCTAACTGGACAATAATGAAGCCAGAATATCAGGATACGGACGCTGACATCTTTCACCACTCTGATGAATTAAAACCGAACTGATACTACGTCACCTGACATTTGTGCGTGAAATAAAATGTGTCCAGTGTTGTGAGTAACAGTGTAATTCCACTACTTTTTGTAACATTTAAATGAGCTTGTTACGGTTTATGATCTAACGACCTTACGGTGGCCCAGACAGTTCAGTCCGTTCAAATAATTAATAACAACAAAGCTCGGTTTCTCTCTACTAACCAAGACATTAAGTGTAGTTTACAGGAAGGAACGCAACTTGTTTTTTCCCATGGCAACATTAAAATAATATATCTGACAGCTGTGTGCATTAATAAGTCATTGATCATATCTTTCCATTAATATCTGAGGAAGTACTTCAATAATACAAATCTGGTCCACATATCCATTGATTATCACTGTGTTAAAATATGTAAACATGCTGGAGTATTGAAATGAATTGTGCTTTTTCACTTTACCCCACATGATGTAAACGTGTTACAAACATTGACGTGAGGGTGGAGGAGCAGGTCTAACTCTCACTCATAGTTCAAATACCAAACACTCACATACCTACAGTTAGAGGAGGAAGTTGGCTTGTTTTCAGGTTTGTCTCAATACCAACATGTATGTTTGAACAGCTGATCCGCTGCTCCACGTTCGCTGTGAGGTGGAAAGAGATAAAGTTTCTACAGATTCTGGAGAGTCTCCATTTGTTAAGACAGAAGCTGTTTTTAAATGTGTGTAAAGGAACTGATATACTTTCCACACACTGCAGGATTATCTGTGGTTTTACAGCTGAGACGAAGCAGCTTTATACACTTACAGCGTGTATAAGTCCACAGGTGTGGCTCTCTGCAGGTGTCAGGTTCAGGTGCAGCAGGTGTAACGTGCAGCACTCACACGGGCAGATATTGTTTTTTATGTTGGTAACGAGGTCACATTTGATTGTGTGCTAGTTTCACAGTTACTATGGTGACCAGACATTCCAAAAAAACTCAGGATAGTCCCGAATTACGAGCAGTTGTTCCGAATTCTGACTTCTGTTCTGTTTGTCCCGAAAATGAATCGTTATAATAAATGGATAAAATGAACGAGACAGAACCAGATGACAAATTGTAATGATTAATTAATAACACAATAATGGTGAAACAGGAAACAAGCTGCTGCAGAATAAAGATTAAAATATATTAATATTAACTGCTGACAAGACATTTAAAAAGACTTGAACACACCAGTTCTTATCTGGTCACCCTGGTTTTTTATCTCTGACCTTCCTCTGACCTCAGGGCTGTCGGCCGCTCTTTAAAGTTCTGTTGCTCAGAGTTTAAGAATAAATGGACAAATAATGGAGACGGAGCCGGCGGACTGTTGGATTGTTAACTCGATTAAAGGTCCAGTGTGTAGGATTCAATGACAATAACATAACCTTGAATCCTTGAATACAGAAAGTATTTTTTGTCCTGTTCTCTTAGAAAACAGGCTAGTAGATATAATATTTTATTAACATTTGTTAAAAAGTGACTTAAAAAGCTTATTTTACTGTAAATGTGACCAAAAAGTGAGCTAAGAAAGTAGTTCTACGGTCAATGCCAAACTACAATTAAATGACCAGCATGTAGGATTTTGTGGCATCTAGTGGTGAAGTTGAAGATTGCAACCAGCTGAATACTGCTCGCATCTGTTTTTGATGACTAGGGAATGAGAATGAGCTACAGTGGCTGCAAAGGCCTAATCTAGAGCCAGTGTTTGGTTTTTATCTGTGCTACTGTAGAAACATGGCGGACTCTGGAAGGCATGGTTTCATACTGTATATGAGAGGCAATATAGAAGGTGGTTTTTGTCCTGTTTGGTTAGAAATCATTTAACAGCTAACAGATGTAGTATTTCATTTCCAGGCGCAGTCAAAAAGTGACTTAAAAAGCTTTTATTTTACTGTAAATGTGACAAAAAAGTCAATGTAAGCAAAGAAAGTAGGTCTACGGTGGCCAGGAAACTCCAAAAAATACAAAAGTCTTATCTACAACCAGTGTTTGGTTTGTTCAACTCCGTACGAAAGACAACAAAAACACAATGATTATTATTTTCAGCTTGTTATACACTAATAAAAACATACCTATGAATATTATATTACATTTCTGGCAATAGATCCTCCTAATCGAGCACCAACATCTCAAAAAGGGGTCAGAACTTAAATAAAACTCACCAAAACCGTCTTTGTTAAGATAAGATATTCCTTTAATAGGCCCACAATGGGGAAATTCCAATCTTACAGCAGCAAAGTGGATAGAGAAAAAAACTGTATAAAGACAGAATAAGAACAGTATGAAAAAAATAATATAATATAAACACTGTACAAGAGAGAAAAAAAACCCAGTAAAAAACCACAACAGATAACACAATAACACAAACAATAACACAAACAATAACACAAACACTAGCAGCAGTT